CATGAGCTAGCATAATGCTTTTTAGCCCACCGTGCAGAGGCCAACTTTGTATTTTTGGTTTAGCATTTACATCCAGCTGACAGGTTTTGATTTAGAGTAAATCAGAAAGAGCTCTTGTTTGAAGCAGTGTATGACATAACCATATGTCAAAGTTAGAACACATGCACACACACATGCACGCACACACACACACACACACATACATATATATTGGGCATGTGACCGAATGGTTAGAACATTCACTTTCTGAACATGAGACCTGTGTTTGAATCTCAACACAGTGGATTTGTCAGAAAGTAGACTTCCTGATGTTATCGAACAGAACTGAGGTCAATCCTAGCATGTGACACCTTTGGAAAGTGCCAGAAAATCATATCATGGGTAGACGGAACTCTTGTGGACCATTGATAGCTATGCTAGTATGAAGCCACAAGCCATTGTGGCTGAGGGCATGAGCATGCTACCCTTCTTCAAATTGTTGATCACACAACATAACACACTCTCTCCCAGAAACTGTAACTAAGGTCTGCTCAGCATAGTTGCAGTATAAACCACTGGTGGGCTCTCTGGGTGTTAAGCAAACACAAATGTGCCTGAGCAAGCGTCTGCAATAGAGATTGGCTAGCCACCCCTAGTAGACAGGTATCCTTGAATACAAGTGCCCAGCTATTATATATATATATATATATATATATATATATATATATAATAGCTGGGCACTTGTATTCAAGAATATATATATATATATATATATATATATAACAAATTAATACTAAAAAAATGGTGAGTTTCATAGTTCAGCATGGGTGACACAACTGATCCTAGATTCTGCCATTGGCCAACACTTAATTGACAATCTTGCATGTTCTGGTCAATATTGAGAGAACTGGTTTAAAATCTTGCATAGAATATGGTCTCAACACACGCTTAAGATTGTTGAAGCAGTCACAATCAAACTGAGATGACCAACTCTTTGCCAGTGATAGGAGACTTTGTTCCTTCCCCTTTTGGGAGAACGTTAATTTTTTTAATCTCCTGAAACCTTCTTCTGGTGCATTTTCAGCTTTGTTTATCAATTTTATTCATTTTTAACTTTACAAATGGAATTAATTTGCTAAATTTGATTTGAGATGATTTTATATTTTAATCATGCGCCAGTTTGTTCTCTCATTTAGTCTCTTAAAAATTATATTTGGTTGTTCCTGTTAAAGAATAATAATTTTTTTGTCAATGATTTTTTTTCTCTGATAAAGGGTTGGTGAAAGATTCCTAAAATATATTTTTCCTCTTTTTTTTTCTGTATTAAGATGTTTACATCAGTTCTATTTAAGGCAATAATTAAATGTTGTATTATCAAGTCATTGTTTTGATATATATATATATATATATATATATATATATATATATATATATATATATCATACTGTGACTGGTAAGGTAAGTCTGTTAACTTTTTTTATTGTACATTTCTTGGATGCAAACAAGAGCTTTCTTTTTTTTCTTTTTGGAGTTAGTGAGTGCAGAAATTGTCCAAACATTTTTTATGAGCACTTTTAGCTAACCTACAAGTCATTTTCTGTTATTTTCATTGTATTATTGTTAATGGCGTGTGAGTGCTATTGTTAACCGTTCAAAAATTGCTGAAAGTGAGACTTATTCTTAGTTCCTGAATATGACCAGTACATTGTGTCCATATTCATAGGTGATATCATTAATGGTTGTTTATTTTTTATTATCTTGATTAGGCCTTGAATTATTTTAAAGCACGTTTGGGAGTTGAAGATCTCATCTACAGTCACTTTCTCACAGACATGCTGTGGCTTCCCTCTGTCTTTTCTACAAATATTTTCATAGCAACTATTCTGACAAGCTATTTCCACTGGTGCCCTGACTTCATGAATTTAAGCATGCTACTACATTGGCATTTTGGTCCAACCCTTTCACTGTCGAAAGTTAAATGAAACACCTCTTCTACTCCAACAGCTTCTTCTCTCGCACTTCCCATCAGTGGAACTCCTTGTTTCCCTGATAGCTATAATCTTCAAATATTCAAATGTAATGTCAATCAACATCTTCTGATGCCTTGACCCTGATCCCCGTCCTTCTCTATATCCTTTTCCTAAACACCCCCCCCCTCTTTGCTCTTGCTCTCATTCTCTGTAACCTCTTGTGTGCTAGTGGCACTCCCGCCTTGCTTGGGATGAAATACTTAAAAAAAATATCACATTTGTATTCTCATCAAGTATGTTGCATATTGAGGTTGACACTTTTCAATACTAGTTTAAATGTGCCTGCATGGTCTTCTGACTACAACCATCAATCTTCATTGGAGGATTGAACTCTTTAAAGTAATAAATATGTGCAAGGATAGATTTCTAAACATTGCTCAAAATCAAGACCCTTCCCCCCCAAATAGCAATTTAGTAATCTCAGATTGACTTGATCCAAGTCACTCAGTGAGGGTCAAACTCAGTCAGTCAGTTATGTGCCATACATGATATATGCTTAGGCAATCATGTATCTTTCGATACATGACTGATGATGCAGATTTTTTTCCCACTTTTAGGTTACTATTTCTTTCTGTGGTTGACCAGTTACTATCCAAGAAGAACTTGGTCTATCCTGCTATTTATCCATAGCTGGGGGAAGAAGAGGATTCATACCTTTCCCAAGGGTATTAGCACATAAGTGAATGTAACAGATTCAAATGGAATTCAAACTCAGCTCTCTGATTCCTTAATCCGAGCTGCTATCCATTACTCCACTGTGCTTCCTTCACTTACGTAATAATATTTTTTAAGACGAGATTGTGAAAATTCTTTAATTGTGAGCTAACCAGGTTTCAAATATTTAAATGCAAACATGAAAATGTTTTGAATAATATTATATAAGAACATTCTTTATATAAGAATATCAAGGCTCAGGCTCTGCCTTATAGATACCTTGAAGGCGTTTGTCTGGGTTTAGCATGTTGAACTTCTTCACAAGCTCAAGGGCTATGGTGTCTGGCTAAATATTTGACTTCATCCAATTATTCTTAATAAATCATGTAATAAAAGTAATATTAAATGGTCACAACTCTAGATAATGTCACATTAATGTGGGGCTCTCCCAAGTCTCTATCCTTAAACCTATGTTCTTTCTCATTTCCATCAATGACCTTCTCAATGTCATCAATTCCCAACAAGGTATTTATGCAGATGACACAAATATTTACTCCTGTCTCAATAGTAAACATGATAGGCCCAATAAAGTAAAATGAGCAGCTAGTCTTGAAAATGTGCTCCAGTCAGTTGTTAACTGGGACGAGAAATGGCTTGTAAATCTTAATGCATCCAAAATGAAACCAGTATTTTTAATCCTCATAGAGAACCATTTTTGCCTTCTATCAGTATGGCTGATGCTAACCTCCAGAAAAGCAACTCATTGTGCCCTCTTGATTTCATGGTTTTCACTGATATGAAGCGGAATAATTATATTGAATCTATTGCTGGATCAACTGCTGGGAAAGTTGGTTCACTGTATTGTAACATATAATTTTCTCTACAGAATCCATCTTGCACATTTATAAATCTACCATTTATCTGTGCATTGAATATAGTTGACATATTTGATCAGGTGCTATTGCTATATATCTTGAGATCTTCAACAAAATCTAAAGAAGGGTCTGTAATGTTATCAGTCCTGACCTGGCATCTCGGATTCAGTCACTTTCAAACTGCCATGACATGGTTTCCTTCTGTTTTTTCTATAAATATTTTTATGATAATTGTTCTAATGTGCTCTCCTCCTTTGTACAGCGACCACATGAATTTAAGTGTACTACTAGATTATCAACTAGGTTCCATTGTTTTACTGTTGAAATAGATTGATGTAATTTTAAATTCTATTCTAATAGTTTCCTTTCTCACACTTCTTGCCTGTGGAACTCTCTTCTTGTTCTCTTTATCCCTGCCACATTTTGATTTTTAAAAATTTAAATGCAACATCAATGACCCTCGTCTGTCTTCCTGAAATCCATTCTTTTATTGTCCTTTCTCCTCACTAAGGTCTTCTCATTCTCTTTAACATCTAGTAATCTTTGGCAAATTATGAAATAATCAAAAAATGCTACATATAACAAATGACAAACTAAGACCCTGTTTTGGGGCCTGACCATATTTGCATGGGGCTAAAGCAAATTTTGACCAGTGACATGAGCATTTGCGCTCAGGTTCCCCATGTTAAACTCTGTGTTGCATCCCATCTCAGTCGGGAGGCTCAGGGTAAATAATACTCAGGTGTTGGGAGAGGTGCCTGCCAGGATGATTAGGTATTATCAGTACTAGCAACAACCAGCACCAACCAACTGACTCCCACTGACCATGTATTCTACCAATACACTCTGCAATTCAGGATTTCACTCCCTGCTTCCCATCATATTGCAGATCACCATGGTTTCAATCACCTACCCTCAGCTAAGACTGCCTGCTAGTACCAGCTCAACATACCAAATGTCTATCAACTTTCACTGACTGCCTATCATCCTTCAACACCTCCCAAGAGGTTTTGTCTTCATCTTCTGGTTACCAACTATCAGCTGCCCTGGGCGACGACAGCTAGCTGGTACCAACCCAATACACCAACTTTTCATTAACCATCAGTACCACTCAAGTTGCTCTGGTCATCATCAACTGTTAGCGCATCTAAGACCAACAGTTATCTACCAGCATGACCACCACCCAGGGCATTTGAAACATCTGGATTCTTTGATAGTATTTCCCTTTTTTTCTGCCAATAATAAATTCTGGCATATTTTATCTGAACCCCTTGTTCTCATTATCCTTGCCTTGGCCTGTGTCACTTGTTCACTTTTAATGTTTGTGGGGTTTGTCTAACATTAACATTTGGACCCCACAACAATATAAATAGACTGAGACGGAGAGATGGAAACAGGCTGAAATAGATAGGTGGATATAAACAGAAAGAGATAGCTAGATATTAACAGAGGGAAATACATATCAACAGATTGAGATAGATAGATAGATAGATAGATAGATAGATAGATAGATAGATAGATAGATAGCTGAACAGACCAAGACAGGCAGATATGAACAGAATAAAATAGATAGATATAAACAACTGAGATAGATAGATAGATAGATAGATAGATAGATAGATAGATAGATACCAAATGACTGAGACAGTTTTGGAAAGATTTTTGGGTAAAAGTTTTGTAAGTATCACAAGATAAAAATCATCTTCTGTTTTCTGTTAGCATTGAGATGAGCTTATCCTAATTTTCTTGTCAACTACATGCAATTCATTTTGTAATATTATTAGCAATTTGTTTAATAAACCCATGTTATCTTGGGTAGGATTAGTCAGACATCAAAACTTGCATGCTTTCTCATGATTAGGATAAGACAATAGACCTTGCTACCCATAATGCACTATTGGTCAACATATATAAATAGTCAAGCCAAAACACAACACACATGACCTGAAGATTATGTTCAAGCATGAAGCAGAGTGTGGCCACTTGGTGTTGACCTAATTGTCCATTTATATATATATATATATATATATATATATATATATATATATATATATATATATATATATATATATATTTTGAAAATCTGTAAGTTTCTTGTATTTTTTAACAAAGCAATTTTCTATTTGGTATTCATTTGCAAAATAACAAGTGAGTTTTGGGAACTTTTGTAGTCACCAAATTTATTTATTACTACACTCACACATATACACTCTGATGGAAAATTAAATTGCATCATTTTCAAAGATGTTATTGATTTAGACTTGATTAATGTGAATGATAATGGGTCATATATACACTAATAAAATTTCAAACCCTTTGGTCATCTGTTGATCTAATGACACTTAGACCAGTGTACTGTTGATATCCATGATCGGGACTACTAATATTACAAATTCTTTTTAGGATTTTATCAAGAATTTCTAAATATATAGCAGGAGCACTAGTCTGTATGTGGCAGTAATATTCAAAGCATGGATGAATGGTAGACTTATAACTATGTAAGATAGATTCTGGCAAGATAAATTGTCTAGCATGACATAGTAAGCCAACTTTTCTAAAGGCAGATCTAGTAATTGGTTCAATATAGTCTTTACACTTCATGTCAACAGAGAACATTAGCCCAAGTAGGTGCAATGAGTCACACTCCTGGAAGTTGGCATCAGCCATGCTGACAGAAGGCAAAAAGAGCTCTGTCAGGTGACTAAAAGAGAAGAGTTTTTGTTTTGGAAGTTTTAAAATTAAAAAAGATATTCCTTGCTCTAGTTAACAGCAGATTGTAGGTAATTTTTTAGATGAGCTACTAATTTGACTGTATTGAACTGATCAGACATGTTATTAAGACAGGAGTAGATAGTTGTGACATCAGCATATATACCTAGTTGAGTACTCATGATATGGATAAAGAAAATATTTAAAAAAACAAATAGAGCAAATTTATACAAAATGCCAAGGAGCTTTATTTGAACTAAGGGAAATTATGTTCATCTACATGGCAAGACTCATGGTTGCACTGAACTCTCTTATGACACAGAACTTTACTGCAGTATGTTTCACTATCATGGATATAAACAGTACACAGGTCTAAGTGTCATTAGGTCAACAGATGGCCAAAGATTTTGAAAATTTTATTAGTGTATATATGACCCATTATCATTCACATTAATCAAGTCTAAATCAGTAACATCTTTGAAAATGTTGCAATTTAATTTTCTATCAGAGTGTATATGTGCGTGTGTAGTAATAAATAAATTTGGTGAGTGTAAAAAAATTACCAAAACTCACTTGTCATTTTATGAATGAATACCAAATAGAAAAATGGCTTTGTTAAAAAAATACGAGAAAATTTCAGATTTTCAAATATATATATATATATATATATATATATATATATATATATATATTCAAAAATTATAACATAAACATGTTATAACATCACTACATTTGGTTCCATATATATATATATATATATATATATATATATATGTATATAGACACTTTATTTTAGGATATTACATCAAAAGCATGTCCAAATCACTACACAACTGCAGTCATATTTCGATGCACATACAACACATTTCCCATGCATGCATTTTATGCATCTAAACATGACTGCAATTGTGTAGCAATTTGGACATGTTTTTGATGCAATAACCTAAAATAAAGAATATTGCTCTACTTTGTATTGAGCCCTCTTTTAAATCAAATGTTATGAACATTGGAATTGTATTCTATTTGTTCTCATCTTACCTGAATATATATATATATATATATATATAAATATATAAAAGTGGACACTGGGGTCAACATCTAGTGGCCACACTGTTTCATGCTTGAACATAATGTTCAGGCCATGTGTGTTGTGTTTTGGCTTAACTATTTATATATGTGCATAGTAAGGTCTATTGTATTATCCTAATCATGAGAATCTCAGCTTCAGTCACTTTTTCACCATCATAATATAGCTTGCCTGTGTCTTTTCTATAAATACTTTCATGGTAATTGTTCTGATGATATAAAGACTTTATGAATTTAAGTGCATTACAAGATTGGCAAAAAGTTTCATCATTTTACAGTTGGTAAGATTTAACCATAAGTTCTATGCTAACTGTTTCTTCTCTCACACTTCTTGCTTGTGGAAATTTCTTCTAGCTTCTTGCTTTCCAGTCAGTTTTAATCTTCAAAAAATTTAAATACAATATTAATCATTATCTTCTGTCTTCTTAATTCCTCTACTTCTGTTGTTCTTGCTCCTTAATGTTTTCCTATTTCTTACATTCTTTCACACTGAGTAACTGCTTGTGTCTTAGTGGCTTTATTGCCTTGCTTGTGGTGAAACGATTAAAAAAGATATAATCTATTTGTTCTTTATAATTGATTACTATAATTTACATGTAAAAATTATTTTTCCTTGGAGCAAACAATGGTTCTTTCAACTAACTTTTTCTCATTTCTCTTGAAATAATGTCTTTGCTATTGTTGTATAGGAAAGAAGGAGGAAAAAGGAGGAGGAAGAGAGAGAGAGAGAGAGAGTGCTTATCTTTCTTCCTTTCTGTCCCTCCTGCTCCAGCTCTCTTCCTCCCTCCCTCTTACAGATAAGCACTTAAGGTTTTGCATAGGTCAGTGTCTGTCACTTGTTATTTTTTTAATGTTTTCATTTCTTGATTTGCTTTTCTTGATTTGTTTTTTGTTTTCTTTAGTTTTTGTCATGTTTTTTTTCCCCTAGCAGGCTTGGTAATGGTAGGGTTGTTCTTAGAAGCTTTACCAGTAGCTTGGTTTGTTTTTGTTATGCACACACACACACACACACACACACACACACACACACACACACACAGACATTACTATAAATGTTATATTCACTGGGTACATGTGTTTGAATAGAAATTAATGTCTGCCGGCCTAGATCAAGATATAATTAGTCTGATGGTAGAATGGTTCAGATATTTTTTTAAGCAAATGACCTAAAGCAAGGCAGGAGTGCCACTAGCATGCAAGGGGCTACAGGGAGAGAGAGTAAGAGTAAAGAGGAGTGTTTGGGAAAAGGATAAAGAGAAGGATGGGGGTTAAGGCATCAGAAGATGTTGATTGACAATACATTTGAATATTTAAAAATTATAGCTATCAGGGAAGCAATTGATAGGAAGGGAGTTCCACTGACAGGAAATTCAAGATAAGAAGCTCTTGGAGTAGAAGAGGTGGCTACATTTAGCCGTTTCAACAATGAAAAAGTGGGACTGAGATGCCAACCTAGTATCACACTTAAATTCATGCAGTTTGGGTACCAGTGAAAGTAGCTCATCAGAGCAGTTGCCATGAAAATATTTGTAGAAAATACAGAGGGAAGCCACAGCAGGTATGTGAGAAAGTGACTGTAGACAAGATGCCAGATGAAGACCAATCACGTTGCATATACATCTCTGGATTTTGTCGAGGACCTCAAGATGAACAGAGGGAGCATCTAAACATATATGGCAACAGTATTCCATACAAGGATGAATGGTTGATTTATAGATTTGAAGGATGGACTCAGGTGAGAAAAACCTTCTGGCATAACACAGAGAACCAACTTTCATTGTGGTATTATAAAATTATGGACTTATCATTATTATATATCTAACAGTATGCTCATTTTGGATATTATACCGTTTTACTCTCCAAATTTTTATTCCGGTGTGTTTTGTTATAATTCTTAGTAAATTTCTTGGAATTTTGAACCAAATTCTTTATCCAGTCCACAGGGGATAGATTGTCCAAATTTCACTTTCTATGCTTAGGACATATAATACATAATCTTTTGGATTAAAGCTTGTCATGACATATCGGGCTCCCTGGCAGCTATGAGTTGAATCCCTGGTCATGGTAGTGCTGAAAAGTTACCTCCTCTTGTTTAGTGGAAGAAGCAAACAATTTTGATTGGTTGGTTGATTTAACAACATATCAACCCGAGTTGGTTTATTTAATATGACCAAACAGACAAGCCTTGCTAACCATTACTCCACACCAAGGTGCACAGAAACAGACAAGCAACACAAAGATTTAAAAGACTGGTGAGTATGAAATAAAATATCCACTCATCATCTAAAGTGGAATGAGAACAATTGAATAAAGGGCTTGGTTCCAAATTCTGAGGAGGTTACCAAGTACAACAACAAATGCTACAAGACGGCACAATGGCTGAAACATGGATATAATAACTAAAATGAGCATGCTGGTCTGAACAAGAAAGCATATAATAAAACAGACAACATCTGAAGAAAACCAGAATGTACAATGGCCGAAGCATTTTGGGTATAACAACCAAGATGAACATGCTGTATTTTATAGTAAGACATATAATAATGGCTATGAGTCTCTTTTATTTGTTCACTTAATTTTACCTATTTTTATTTGTATATGTAAATGTGTGTGTGTGTGATATCAAAAAATAGTTACTTACTATTTACAGTTTATAGAGAGTTTAAAAATAGAATCACTAGATTGATAATATTTTTATTTACCAAAAAACATGAACCACATTAACCAACAGTTGGATTGTTCTTTGGAATGGTCCATCTTTTTAAGAGCTTTTCATAGTCAATAAATAAATATTTGGGACCAAAATTTGTGCTCATCACTGAACATTTTCTGAGAATTAAAAAT